CTCGTCCAAGTCACAGCACAGCCCAGACTTGAGCCCAAGCAGTCAGGCTCCAGATCCCATCCTTCTGGGGCTGGTGTTTGTGTCCAGGGGTCTGGCTTTGAATCTCAACATTCAAATGGGATGGCGCTGCCCCCACCCCACCCAGGATGGGCCTGGAAGGCCTGTGATGGGAACGAAGAGGGACCAGAGGTCACAGGGTGGGGAGGAGCCTCCCCTGACACTCCTGTGGGAGCTCCTGAGTGGGCTCAGTCAGTGTGTGTTGTCCGGGCTGCCCGGGCAGCATCAGGGGCCCAGAAGAGGAAAGGAGGGGCTCCCTGAAGGTAGGGGAAGGGGTCACGGATGGGACCACCTGGGAGGGGCAGACACAGGGGTGGGACGTCGACAAGAGCAGGAAGGGAAGCAACAATCCCAGAGAGGCTGCCAGAGTGGAAGCTGCAGGCCACCCACAATGTGGTCTGGGATAGTCAGGGGCCTCTGTCTGGCGGGGACACCTGCAGCCCAGACTAAGGGATCTGCCCTTACTGTTTTCCCTCCTGACTCAGAGCCTCAACTTTGCCTGTTAAGACCTCCATAACCCTGGCCCCTCTCCTGCTCAAACACCTCCCATGGCTCCTTATCGCCTGCAGAGTAAAGTCCATACTTGGGTTCTGAGAGAACCCAGGATCTGCTGAGGGCCTCGTGTTCAGCCAGACAGGCAGTGAGAAATTTGAGCTCAGAAACCAGCCCCACCTCAACCACACACCCTCAATCCCCACAGTCCCCAAGCACCCCTGATGGCTCTAGGCGACGCTCAGGCACAGGTGACAGCACATTTTTATTCCTGGTAATCTGCAAAGGCAGGTGGGCGGGGCCAGAGTGGGTCTTAAGCCTGCAGCGGTGGGTCACTGCTGGCCAGCGCTCAGCGGCTCCACCCGCAGCCAGAGGCCGCCCTCAGCTCGCAGGACCAGCTCCGGCTTCCTGCTCTTCTCTGTCTCCACATTGTCAGGCAGGAAGCGGAAGCGCAGCAGCGTCAGCGCCAGGACCACCTTCATCTCGGTCATGGCGAAGTTCTGCCCGATGCAGTTCCTGGGGGCAGAGGTGGGGACTCTCACTGCACCCAGGACCCCCATCCGGGCCCAGGACCCCCACCCTCAACCTCATCAGCCTGAAGGGGCAGAGTGGGGTATACCCGTGCCTGGGACCCCCATGTGGGCTTGCGCATACCCCAACCCTGGCCCAAATTCCAGACCCCAACTCACAACAGCAGAGGGGGAGGGGGTTCTGAGCACATTGTGGTCCCCTCTGGGACCTACACAACCCGGTTCTATGGGCCTTTGTCCACAACCTCCAGAGGAAGGAAGGAGGGCTGGAACTCTGACCATCTACAGTTTACCCTTTCTTCCCACTGCCATGCCCAGACCCCCACACCCATCACCCCATCCCTGCCTCAGATACCCACTGCCCTCACCTGGGCCCTGCAGAGAAGGGAACGAAAGCCAGAGGTGACCTCTCCTTGACATTTTCTGGGTCGAAGCGGGAGGGGTCATACACCTGGGGGTGAGAGGGAGACAGGCTTGCTGGGCGGGTCTCCCAGGACAGCCAGCCTTGGAGAGACAGATGAAAGTGTTTCTGGTAGTGGGGGAGAGAGGAGACCTCAGATTTCCCTGTCAAAGCCCTGCCCCTCCTTTAGGACCCATGAAATGAATAAAATGGGTGGGGGGCTCAGTCAGCACCTCAGGGTCCGGCCACACAGCTGGGTTGTGATGGGTCCCGAAAATACTGATGACACAGATGACACCTGGGCAAGAGGAGGGAGCAGTCAGGACAGGGCCCCACTGCCCGATGGGCCCCTCTTTCTGCCCATCATCCTCCTCCCCCTGCCGCTGTGGGCACCTTTGGGGATGACACGGCCATCTGGGAGCACAATGTCCTGGGTGCAGCGGCGGGAGATCACTGGGACTGCGGGATGCAGGCGCAGACTCTCCTTAATGCACATGGTCAGGAAGGGTAGCTGGGCCAGGTCGTCCCTAAGAAACCCATCCCCCAAAATATTATCCAGGGAGCAAATACAGAAATCTCCAGCCGCTGTGTTTCCCACTGACACCTCTTCTCCCTATAACAAAATAAGCTCCACCGGAATCAAATATTTGAGAATTAGAAAAGCAGAAAAAATTAGAACAGCAGAGAATTTAAAAAGTACCATAGAAAATTTAGCCAGGTATTTAAAAAAAGATATTTCTGAGGAAAACACAACATCCAAAAGCCAACTGCAAAAGTTAACAAGTTTACATAAAAATAAACAAAATACACGGT